GCGGCACAGTATACTCGTAGACCAACTGTTGATCCTCCCGGCGAACAATACGACAGGCGACATCTCCGAGGCCAAGAACGCGTTGACAGCTGGCTCCCCCATTCTCCCGGCAAACAGTGGCTGCCTGACAGTTTTGAAAGCAGAATGTCGTCTTATTCAGCAGGGGACAGAATAGATTCATACTGCTGCGAGTAATCAGTTCGGCCTCCTTCGAACGGGTGTTCACATGACAACGAATTGTGAGCGGTTCGCCGAGTACTACGGCCTCGGTGTTTTGTGAGAAAGAGATACTGAGGGGTGAGCCACTGGAGCTGAACTCGAGGTTTAAGGGAAGGTGAAGTCCATTGGAAGAAGTGTTGGTTTCACGGACCACAAACAGAAGCAAGAGGGTGAAGGCCAACAAATATTTTCTAATCATGGGTAAGACAACAAGAATAATGGGAACACGAATTTGGTCGATCTGAGGGTGTCGGTGTCGGGGACCTACTAGTGCGCAATAAATGACTAATTATCTCCTGAAGTCATTTCGCCCTGACGGTCGGGGTTTTTGAGATGCTGTAGGCGGCACGTTTGCGTTGCCCTCGACTACTGCATGAAACCGGTGTGCACCGACTTAAAAGTCTACGGCGCCACTCCGCAATCGGATTGGGCCCAAAGTAGCCAATGAGAAGGCGTGAAGTAGAAGTAGTAAGGTCTCCGCATGGTTATTGGGGTTATTAGCCATGCAAATGAAAACGATAGAGGTGTGAGAGCACTAGTTGAATGATTTAACTTCAGCCATGCCGCTGACCTCAAACAGCAGGTCTCTGATAGATTTTCGTATTATCTGGAGTCATTTTATTTGATCGCACGATTTTAAATTTTATTCAGTCCTGAATTTCTGATTTTTTTCGACAATTACCGGTTTCTGCACCTTGCCAGCTAACCAAGTGATAAACCACCCTTCCTTCTAGGTTGGTGGCACAACATAGATGGCAACTTGCCCTTTTGAATTGTTAGAATAATAATACCAATAATAATAAATTGCATCAAGTATAGTTTTTTCGGAACCTTTTCAGGTTACGAGGTAATTAGTTAGAACACGAGGGAGTAAATATCGGAAATTTTTTGAAAATAAATTATTCAGCGACTGTTTTGCAACCCGAGGGAATTTTATGACTCAGAGCCACGAATATTCGCGCAGAGTGGCTCGCATAACTCGTGAGGAAAGAGGCCATTTAGCAAAGGTAGGAGGAAGTAATTATCACCCTAGACTAGTGAAACACTTTACTTGCGAGATTAAATGATCCGCTTACCTCGCCTTCTTACTTCTTACCTAGCTTACTTGTTTCAAGAGCACCTTTACTGAGGAGAGCTTATCTTCCATATGCGCATACGAGGAAGCGAGGTCAACGGCTACTTACAGTACGCGCCAGAATTCGTGCAACATGCCGACGTTAATTCAGTCATCATAGGATCTCGGCTTTTTGACCAGCTTATTTATGAACGCTAACAAAACGTTTGTGCTCTAAAAAGTAACTTTTTAGACAGTAGGTGTTTTTATCCTTGATTTTGACTGCCTTGATAAATTCAAATATATTTTATAGAAAGCGTAAACGAAAAAATATTTACTTTACTCATTTGGTAGCAAATGATGCCTTCTTTAAATTTTATACTTAAAGAATGGGTTTCTATCGGTTGTTAAAAAAGTATGTAAATTGCGGAATAATTTCGAAACCTACTAGCTGCTACACTCGAATTTAAGGTGTACATCGTGTTTTAGGAAAAGAAAGTTTTTGCGTACTGTTTGAGAAAGAAGTCATGTAGTTCTCATAAAAGGTTGCAATAGGTGTGGAACATGCTTTATATAGTGAAGGCAGCATTAACAAATTGACGGATACGATGTTTTATGAATGAACACCTCACAATCATAAAAAAACTCATAACTAGATATTTACCTACAACCGCAGGATAACATTTCTTTAAGTATAACATTCAAAGGTGTAATCTGCTACCAAACGAATACAATGAATAATTTTTTTCGTGTACGTTTTCCGTAAAAAATAGTTGAATTTATAAAGGCAGTCAAAATAAAGGACAAATACGCCTACTATTTAACTAGTTACTTTTTACAACACACACGTTTTGTTAGCGTTCAGAAATAAGCTCGTTAAAAAGCCGACATCCAATCATGACTGAATCAACTTCAGAATAAACTACAAGATTGTCAGTATCACAACCTAAGTCGATGCTGACTATCGAAAAGGTATCAATCTTTCGCATACATCGGCTTGTTGCACGAATTCTGGCGCGTACACAATTTAGGTAACCAGTTTTGCAAAGGAGTACTGTAACCAATGTTATTTAAATCATATCCTCTTAGACAGTCCTAACTGACAAAATTACATGATTACATATTGGAGTTAGGATTCAAATGGATACCATGCACTACAGTTCGCGAAATCACCATAGCAGTCAAGAAAATATCGCATGACAGTAAAACCTACGTTTGATTTTGAAGGTGATATCCGAAATCTTCAGCAAAAAATGGCTGTATTCACTGAGTCCAATGGATACGTTGACAAACTACTCAGAAATCTTACGGTTTACATGGAGACAGGTCCAATCTCAACTTCTGAATTTCCGCCTCTTTATACATGGGGCAGAGTGCTAGGAATTGGAGTACAGAGTGCTGAAATGTCGATATATGGCAGGACAGATGTGACGGAAGCTTTGGCGCATAGTACGCGAAGACTTAGTAGTCATTAATGTGGAGTCGAGTGGATGGGCAGCATCATCTATAATCCGATCAAAAAATTGGTTTGGCCGTCATAAATTGACACTGTATTATACTATCAGCTAAAAAAAGCATAAGAAACGTCGGCGGCTGAAGAGAACATTGGAAGATACGTTTGAAAACCAACAGCTTTTTAGCAAGGAAAAAATAACCATAGGACAGTAGATAATGCAGACATCTATAAATCGCCAGATTAGGGCTTGAGGTGTGTGCGATAGGAAGGTAACCAATGGATATAATATAGGGATTTGGGAATTTTAATGAAGAAGGTGTCCACATGAAGAGAAAATTTAAAGTTGGATTTCAGAGTAACACCGGGGTACCGAAAATGGGATACCACATTGGACAGAATGTCTAAGGAGTCCGTTGTAATCCATTGGGTCAAGACCAGTCTGCCAACTTACAGTGAACTGGGCCATAGTAGTTTAAGTAATGCACCTCATATACCCCTACTCCCAGTATTTTGTCCTACGAAAACCGTGGTAGGTGTTTATGGGTGGGAAATTAGGATAAGCAGCGGAATATACTTTAATAACTGCTATATACATTTCTATTCTATTGTACTTAGAACTTTTGTTGATTCAGATCTGTGCATTTTTCTAATTTACATTATCGTTTAAAATATTGCGGTGAAACCCGATCATCAAAATGCAAGTTTCTTGAAATTACAGAAACATGGAAATGATGGTTAGGAGGTCTTCTATTTCAATTTACCTGAAATCCAATGCGACGTTCTGGAGTTAGATTAGTACAGTCCGCGGCCCGAACCGCCGCGCACACCTTCATTTTACACGCGGAACAACGTACTCCCAGCGGCCGCGGAAAAAAATGCAACTATATTCTTCCACTTTATACTTGATTCAACAAATTTACTTCAGCGCCTAACCTATTGCCTCACCCCAAAACCCCTATAACCACCGTTTCCATAGGACAAAATGCTGGAACTAGGGGTATATTAAGTGCACTGCTTAAGTTACCTTTGTCGTAAACTGGCCTCTTAAGGCCGCTGCGCAATGGGTAGCCAAGGAGGTAAAGAAGGCAGAGTCACATAAAAGGCGTAATGAGAGAAAAAGCCGCCTCCCTCTTTTAATGATTTACATGAGCTTTAGCAATTTTACCCTACAAGTTTCTACATTTGGACATACGTTCATGTTTGTTTTTGTTGCAGGATATTAGGCTTACCATGGAAAAGCTAACTAAAACAATTTTCGCTGATCGGGAAATGGACTGTTTGGTCCGCGCGTATTTCAGGCAAAGAACGAGGGGAAAAGAAAACGCATTTTTGAAAAGTGTATTAAATTTGCGAAAATTCCCATTGAAAATTTCAGAAGATGAAATGGCGAACATACGTTTGTTTTCGATAATTCTCATCAGGCCTTTACATTTATAGTTATATAAATGTAAAGGCCTGATGAGAATTATCAAAAACAAACGTGTGTTTGCCAGCCGCGCAGCTTGCGCTTGACTATTCTCCGTGGCTTCGTTTTCTGTGGCT